TTCTCCTGTACCTTCACCGGCGGAATCATGCTGCTTATAGTCCACCAGAAAGACTCTCTCCCCCACTGGAATTCAAGGAATTTTTTGGTGTTCTGAACCATCTTCACATTTCTCCAACTAGGCTTAGGATCCTGAGTTGTCGCAAGCAAGACACCATCAACAATGATAAGTAGACACAACTTCAGCTTCTTAGACGGTGCCATTTCTCTATCACTTGCAAGCATCGCCGCTACACCTTCAATTGTTATATCATGCATACCAGCACCAAACAACTTGTCCCAATAAACAAAGTCCTCTTTCTTCGGCTTTGTCTTCTCATCAACAATATACCCCTCCTCGAACTCACCACACGGGGCCCAGTCACTTCACCAAATTCAGCAAGCGAGAACCGTAGCGGCTGACCAGAGAAGATAGGCGACAACTCAAACCTCTTCTTTGTAACTACCTGCCTACTCAGCATACCATGCACTAACTTTGCCGAGAAAGCACATCTCCTCACTGGCAACCTAAACAGACCTCCAAAACAAGAGCCCAGCAGTGTATCCATCTCCTCCGACCCTTCAAGAACATCCCTAACCAAGAGAAGGTGCTCTAAACAGCCGTTTACATTGAACCGCTTGCTTGGATAACGGTCAGTTGCAAATAAACTCTTTGGCAAACGAACATTCACTTGACAGTTTGTCGTTTCTGCAATCTCTAAACACCAAACACATAAAAAAAAATATTAACAATCACTGTCATGCTTTCGGAACAAACCCATAACAATCACATTGATAAACCTAAATCGAGTTCGAAATAACCAAGGAATAAATGCAACTACCAATTTCGAAACGAGCTCTCCTCTCGAAAAACCTAAATCGATAAACCAAAATCTACCCAGAAACTTCAACATATAAACTAAAAACAAACCAAAAAAGCCCCCTACCTTTCTCCTTCCCACTAGGGGATTTCCTTCGACGAACCGACTGTATCTTCTCCTTTTTCCTACTCGACATCGTTTTCTCGCCTCTCTCTAACTTCAACCTTTACCCAAACGAAACTTACCAAAAAAAAAGTAAACTTCTTTAGGTTAACTCTCAACAAATTAATCCGATATTATCGCACTCTCACGTCCGCAAACCACAGCCACACGTTTTTGAATTTTAAAAACTCTAACCAGCCCAACTAGAAAAATATGGGCCAATTACGGAAATACCCTAACCTCAATCACCTTTCCGAAGGTCAATCAAGTAATCAACCACAAAAAACTGCCTATGGAGCAACATGTGCTCTTCGCTGATATTAAAACACGAAATGTGTTCTGCTTTGAAAATAACTCTTTTTAAAGTAGGCGCGATCGCCTTCTCTACTACTCCGATCGCTCCAACCCTTTGCCTGATTCCAAACGCGATGAAAAGGTCTCTCTCTCTCTCTCTCTCTCTCTCTCTCTCTCTCTCTATCTCTCTCTCT